AAGCATTTGCTTTTTTTTCCTCCCCTGCAATCTCATTTGCAGATATTTTCCATCATTTTAATTACACTCTGATATGTGTTGCACCAAAGTGCTTCTCTGCCTGTGACCCTTTTCCTGACAATCATCTCATGTACTAGTAGCACTGCAGTCATGGAGAGTTTGATTAGATTTTTGGTAGAGAACCTGTGTACTAAAAACTTTATTAGGAAATACATGTTAGCTAATTTTTCAATAGTCTTGCACCATTTAAATTTTTGTCATGATGATTTTAAAGTTTTCTATCCTGGAACTTATTGCCAAAAAACATATATTCCATGGTCCTGTAGACTCTGACATTTCCATTGCACCTGAATTTAGCACTGATTTCTCTCCCTCTAGTGAATGAATACTGTCCAACTAATGCCAATGAGGCTGTCACTGTTAATAGCAGGGTACTACCTATTGTTTCTGACTTAACGTGAAGATCAATTAGGCTTGAGGTCAGCTGTTTGTTTTCCAAATACTTCTTCTGATCCTGTGAAAATATCTGCAGATTTTTCTGTATTGTGGGGTAAGCCCCCCAGACCTAGTGTAGGTAATATAATTCCAAGGTTTTTCTAGTTAAAGTTACTCTCTAGTTGCATGCGGTGCACAAGCTGGCTCATTTTGCTCCTCTAGACAATGTACCTGTTTAAAATGTGTTACATGAAAGTTTGAGTAGTCCCTACTCTAAGTACCCCTTTTTAATGTGTTTTTTTAACTGTGGCTCCTGTCTGCTGCAAACTTGTTATGACTTCATCACATATTTCTCTCTTAAGTTTAAATGTTATCTTATTGCCTCCTATTTTGTCTTGGCATGTTTGTGCATGATGGGGAGAGGTTCAGTGCAGGCAACCGAGTGGTGATCACACCTCTCTTTTGGTTTTGTCACTGTGTCATTGTGCTTACTGATAATGATACAGGAATCTGATTTTCAAAAGGTGACATGCTCTAGCCACCCAAAAAACTGTTCAGCATTCAATCATCTTCTGCTACTGATTTTATGTGCACTTCTTTCACGGCTGTTCTATTCCAAAAATGGTTCAGGTCCTCCACACCACATACACTCACGTCACCCATTTTTCAGCTGTCCCCAAAGGTGCTCAGTATGTCTGAGATTTTCTTTTCTTCTATACATGTAGAGAGAGGTATGTCTCTGGTGCACGAAGTCTAGTCAGTCTCTCTGGATTCTCACTAATCGCATTAATAAACTTGTCACTGAAGGTATGTGTTTTGCAGATACACCTGTTCTCTTTGCGTGATACCCATTTGAAAACAAACAGCTCTCTAGCTCGCTGGTATGTAGATCAATTCTCTGTCTCATAGCCTGGAAAAATTAGAACACTGTTTTCCTCCTTTTTTTTTTTTTTTTTTCAATTCTTCCCAATCTTTCTAGTTTCAAAGCCCATAGGCAACATATTTGCCAGACACAAGCCACAGGAATTAGTTTCTTCTTCTGACATCCTTAAATGACTTAATTTAATTGCATCAAGTAGTGCAGACACAGGTAAGAGAGAACAACTTGACTGTCAACTAGAAGGTTTTTTACACTTTAGGAGGTCAGCTGCCTCTGCCTTCTCACACTGAGACACACACACATATGCACACAGGAGGAGGGTCCAAACGGATCATCTCTGAGCCTCAAACAGAGGCTGCCAGCAGCTACCTAAGATTGCACCTATGTACTACTGCTGTTAGCGGTCGCAATCGCAAATAGAACTTAGCTACACAAAGCAGATAAGCAGGCACTTCTTTATCCCAGCGCTGGGGAACACGAGGGATAGCTCCGCCAAAGACGTGTTCGCCGACAGGTACAAAGCACAACATATTTATACACTTTTTCAGCAGTCATGGTTACATAAGATCAACAAAATTCATAAAGTTTAGTTTGACCTTAATAATGACTGGTTTTCAGTTACCTCACCTTACCTATATTCCTATTCTACAGAAATCATTGGTCATCTTTACTGATTGATTTGAATAGAATGAGGGGAGGGTAATGATTAGCATATTCATGTTATTTCCTGAAAATCATTATCATATGCAAATGTATCTAACGCATGCACGGTTATGTTGGACGAGGGTCCTCTGGTGGTCATCAATAGTCTTCCTCACTATGTCCGCTGATTGAACTCCATCCTTGCGCATGCTCGTTTCATCTTTGGCCAATGCTCATTTCTTCTTTGGCTGATCTTCCAAACCAAACCAAACCCCGTATCTTCTGGTACCTATTGTTTTGACTCAAGATCCATAACCAGTACCCACTGTTTTAATTCAGAGTCCATAACGATTCGTACAATGTTCAAGGCACACACCATACTAGCTACCTATTCCTAAGGGCCTTAATGTGCTTTATATTCTCATAGCTGCTGTAACTCCATTTTAAAACCAAAATCATATTTTAAACTAAAATCAAAATAACATTCTAGGATTCAAGCTATTTTATTAAGGTAACTGCAACAATACTGGAATGGGTTCTGCAGTTTAACAAACTCAAACATTTCAATTTTCTGAAGCTAAGATCCATCTTCCCTGTTATAAGCATTGTAATTTTAAAAGCCCAATCAGACAGCTTTGCATGTGATTTGCCTCATAACTATCCTATAGTGTAGGTTTTTTAACAAAAGATAAATAAATATATATTTTTGCATTACTAAAACTAGACCTTGGAAAATTAAGACAACTGCTTATAAAAATTCAGTGTTCTGTGATAAAAAGGAAGTCTTAGCATAACTTTCAGAGCCGATGCGGAAGCAGCACTAGTAACTTTGAACCACATCTCTGTAGTAGCTTTGATATACAACTTTGAAGTTGGCCCTTCTTTGAGGTGGAGATTGCACTAGATAACCTTCAGAGGTGCTTTCCTGCCTGAATTTTTCCATAGGCACATGGTAGTAGGGAGGAGGAGCCACATCTTTGATGAAAACTTTTCACATAGGCTTTTCAAATATCCTTGCCTGTTATCATTCATCTTTGATGTGATACTTGTAGGGGAAAGATCACATAACTGAGATCTGTATTCTGACTCTAAGCCAAACACCCTGATTTATTGCTAGGAAGTGATATATTAACAAATCAATATCTAAAAGAAGAAAAATATATTGCTATTTCGTGTAAATAGAAGGAACCACATCAGCTGCAATGATCCTCCATTGCAGCTGCTTTTCCTTTTTTTGGCAGTGTGGAAAGAAATAAGGGAGCACTCCCAAAGGAACATCTTATAACAGGCAGTGATTTGGCAGTGAGAGCCTGCTTTTATTAACTACAGGGTTGTTCTGTGTTGTGCCGTAGGAATGGAGTCACTGGCAGAAGAATATCCTTAGGTTTCAAGCCCTCTGGGGAATTCTGCAGGTAGGGACAACTTAAGACCTGCCTAAGACTGGGCCTTAATGAAACACTATCTGGAAGGGAAACAAAAGACAAAGTTGCCTTATAGATTAAAAACTCATTAGGGATTTCACACAATGTGGATTCAAAAGCCTGGTGCGGGCAGAAAAGAGGTTTGCACCCAACCTTTCCAAATCCCAGAGAAGTCTACTGGCTGTGGAGACACATTTGCCTTTCATGCTTATTCTGAGATTCCCTTCCACCAAAACTGGTACACTTGTGTAGTAATAGGCTGTTCTCATTCATCATGTATGAATAGATCATTGATAAAAACTATTGCAAAGAACATCGGAAGAGTGTACTCAAACTATGCATTTTAGAAAGAACAAATTTATATCCAGAACTCTAAAAATTCACCTATAAATCCACAAGAATTTAAAGTAAGGAAGCTTTTAGCTATGAAGAAGTGATTCCATGTGCATCCCTGTTCACCAAATGTCTGTTATTAAAACAGCACCAAAAATATCAAGAGAGTAGTTCCCAAATTAGGATATTCCATCAGGAAATCTTTCAGTGAGAGATGTGAACTGGTCGCTGCCAATATGTTCTGGTCCAACCATAACTCCACAGGATTGTTTACCTTCCTTTAAATTTAATGTAAGTTTAAGCCTATCCTCCCAAACTGATCACTGGTTTGCAGCAATACACGGAGAGGCTGAAGTAATGTTAGCTTTAAGTCTCCAAACGGAGAGCCCCCCTTCCTGCTGCCGGCTGGCAGTGGGAACAGCACTGGGACCCCGCAGGTCTTGCACAACCCTGGAGTTTCTTGTTCATCAGTGGCAAATCAATTGGTATTGCCAGGGTGACTCAAAACCAAGACCAAGTGAAAACATCAATGTGGCAACCTGTTTCTAACGGCTGTCACCGCGGCGTTTGCCTGCAGCGTGGCAGTGGCAGCTTTGGGGTGGGTGTTGCAAACCTTCACGGTGGCGAAGGAGCCCCAGCCGGGCGGAGGTGCCTGATGGGGAGCCAGACAGATACAGCCACGGGTGCTGGGCCAGGAACGGAGCTGCTGGCGAACGCCAACCACCGCTTTCAAATAGCCGACTGCAGCTCCAACGTCCCCTCAGCGACGCGATTCTGGCAGAACTCTGATCTTCTGCATCTCCAGGTGCGGCCACGCACCGTATCGAACCGCACTTCGGGATATTTGCCATTTTAGGCAACTGTAAGCCTCACGTCTTTTGAAGCGTGCTTTGTAACACGACCCGGCAGCCGAGCCCCGGTTCCCCGGGTGGGCTTTGCAAAGCCCCATGTGCCCAGCCGGCTGGCAGTACTCTGCCCCTCCCCGCCTCCCCACGCACATGCCGAGCGGGGCTGTGGGACCAGGTCTCCGCCGCCTTGGCAGGGCCAACAAGATGCTGTTGTCTCCGCGCTATCGCCGAAGCCGGTGCCCGGCCCTGACTCCCCAGGTCCACCCCAGCAGCTCCCAGAGCCGGCGGTGAGGGGCGTCAGGCAGCCCTCCCCGCGTGGCGGAGGGGGGGGGGGGGGGGGGACACGACACACCCCTGCGAGGCTTTGGAAAAGGCTCCGTGGGGATGGGCGAGTGCCCGAGACCATCCCCACCGCCGGGGCCGGCCGAGGGGCGGGCTTGGCCGGCGGAGCGGTGCCACGGCACGGCGCGGTGCCACGGCCGCGGGGCCGGCCCCGCGCGGAAGGCGGAAATCCCCGGCGGGGGGAGGCGTGGGAGGGAAAGGGGAATGGCCTAAACCGGGTGGCCGTGGGCTCGGCACGGCACGGCACGGCACGGCACGGCTCGGGCGGCCTCCCGCGCCGCTGCGATGGAGCCCCGAGGGTGAGTGGCGGCCCAGGGCTGCGGGGAAGTGTCGCTGGGAGCACGGGTGGGCACCAGCCGGCTGTCTGCCGCGCAAACCCTTAGAGAAACCTGAGTTTCATTGCAACGCAGCGGGGCAGGTAAAAATTCGGGCGGGCGGGCGAGTGGGCTTCTTCAATAGCGGCGGGGGCGAGTCGGTGCCCTCGGGCCCGGGACAGCGGGTTGCGGTGTTAAACGTGCCCGGCGGCTGCTGCCTGCCCGGGGAGGGGGGGGGCGCACCTCGCCCGGGCTCCCGTAGCGGCGGGGGAGGCGGGTTTTGCAGGGCCCCCTCCGCGGCCGGGGTGCCCACGGCATAGCGGGTCAGCCCAAGGCAGAGCGCCCCCCCCCCCCCCCGCCCGTAATTTCTGACCCAGCCCATCGAAGACCGCCGGCACTGAAGTGGCGGTTTAAGGAGCCTTTCGGCCCGAATTGGGGGCGGTGGGGGAAGGCGAGCAGCCCCACCGGTGTGGCTGCCTGAGGGAGGCGGCACAGAGAACCCGCTTGGGGCACCTGCTGGTGCGGGAAGAGCCGCGTCGCTGCAGGGTTAGGGGATAAAGCAAATCTTAGCAGTGGAGCAAAAGCCCCGAAGTTATTATTATCGCGAGCATCGGGACATCTTCTGTCTGGCTAGAGTGTGCCAGAGCAGCAACTTCCCATGACTCTAAAATAAATAGTCTGTGAAAAAGTTGAGACGCTGGAAGACTTATCTCACCAAACAAGAACGTATGAAAGAGGAAGTGTAACTTTCTCCTGTTTCACATAACGTTGGTTTGTTTGTTTTTTGTTTTTTTTTTTTTGTTTGTTTTTTAAAACAAAAAAAAAAAAGTATAGACGGGGAAGGTGTAGGAAAGAATTGGAAAAGAAAAAGCTAATTTTAAAAAATTTACAATATGTTTTAAAAGAATAAATAAATGAGATATTGAACCTAAGAAACTAATGCAGCTACACTTGCGCTTAGTGGAGCTCACTGCCAGTGATGGACACAGGAGCTGAGTGTACATATGGGGCAAAAGGGAGGTTTTTCTCTGCAGGCAAGAGCATTTCTCCCTTTTTCCAAAAGGAGCTTGACATTAGAGCTATTCCAGGAGAACACGGTGGGTTGACACTGCCCCCACACTACCACAGCTGCAACCTCCTTCCAAATAAGAGGATGAGCATCTCTAGATCTGTCCAGTCTTGACTGTGACATCATTTATTACAATAAGAAATCAAGACCTGCTTTGTATACATACATTAGAGAATCAGTTCAGGCTGACTATCTGAATGTTTATTGGCATCGGCAAATGCCTACCAAGGGGAATTCCCTAAAGAGTCCCAAACGAATCAGTCAATTTTTGTTCTCCATTTAATTCAAATGACTTGATATAGCCATAGTTTCTAATGTGGGCAGGGAACAATAAAACAAACACAGCCATAGGATTAAGAATGATTAAGAGCTACATTAAGGTGAGATTGTCATGACAGACACAAAAGCCTGGCACAAAAGTGATGGCTCCTGCAAAATATAAAAATGCAACAGAAATACAAGACCACGTGCAAAACCCACCAAAAGTGACTACCAAAGACAGAACAGAGCAGAGCTGCCTCCCTGAAATGTTTAGGCATGCTTTCTTGGAAGACTTACTTTAGGGCTGATTTCAGAGTTATTAAAATAAGTATTAATGTTCCACACAGGGCTTAAATTTTTTTTTCCTTTTTTCTTTTCCAAAATCATCCATGAAACTGTTTCAAAGGACACAAAAAAAAAAAAAAAAAAGCATTTTCTTCATATAAAAGTAATACAATTCAGACTGACTCTTCCCTAAATGTTCCCCGTCTCATTCTCTAGAGATGGGACTTCTGGTGGAGGTAGATTTTGTGTCTGGATCAGAAGGATGCTTTCTACATGGAAGGATCATAATTTTCTTGGGGGCAGGTGGGAATTAGAGACCCTGTTCCACCGCAGAGGAGACTGAAGTTGTGCCCAGGCAGCTGATAGGAGATGACCTGGGCAGAAGTGATGCTGTGCCTGGGAGGTGGTAGAAGACAAATCCTGATGCTCAGCTGGACAAAGGGGCAGGAGCTGTGGGGAAGGGGCAGGAAGCCTGGAAGAGGGAGGGGATGTTGTAAAGCACAGACGACAGGGAAAAGTGAGGTGAGAAATGGCTGCTGGGGGGGTGACTTAGGTTAGGGCTTGGAGGGAGGAGGGTCAGGCAGGGCAGGGTTGGTTTGGAGGAAAGGTGGCAAGCAGTCTGGGTGGGAGACCCTGGAGCTCGCTCCTGGGTGGATGTGGGCTGCTGGCGGCAGCTCTGCCCATTGCCCCAGCCCTTGGCTCAGTCTTGGACCTGGCTGAGGGTTGAGAACAACTGGGGAAGGGAATTAGCTGCAGCCAGGTAGTGTGGCCTCACAGTCCTGCTTCCTTGCAACAGTGAGCTGGGGAAAATGGGAATGAGCAGGTACTTGTGTCCCTCTGCCCACTGGCTCAGCTTTGCAACCATATTGCAATGTCAGGGTGGGCACTGCAGCCACTCAGCTCCCATTCCAAAACCTTTCCAGTGTCTCCTTTCCTTCACCACAGCAGTCTGGAGGAAGGAGAGGTCAATGTATAGCTAGGCATGGTGGTGAAAGGTTATTTTAAAGTAACTCTTAGTGCTGCACATTTATCTTTCTTGGGATGAGAGTTAAATCATCTGGGCTTTATAGATAGGTCAAACTGGGTTTTCCTATAGCATCCTGCAGGTGTAACTCCCTTGGGAAACTCCCGCATAGATATGCCCCTCCAGAGTAATCAAACACACCAAATTCTTTCCAGCAAAACCTTTGCACAGCTCCTCGTTATCAGCACATTTCCTGTTTACACATTTTTACTGAGTGCACAAATTGGGGGGCAGCGTGGTCAGCTGCTTGTTGTCCTTTGACCAGATAAAACTGTAATTCATTGAGTTTCAGCAAAGCAGTAGGATGCAGGGCTCTGACCTGGATTTAGGCCTGTGCATCCATACTCCTTCCCAACGATCCAGATAGCCCTTCAGGGCCTATTCATCCAGTAAGTCTATATGGTTTGTTGTTCACGATAAAGACAGGCACTATACACCAGCTTCATGCCTTCTGCTCTGACTCCAGTATTAGTGTGGTTGACTGCTATTCGTGGCCTTGACCACCCACCCACAGAGGTTTTGCAGCTGTAAAAAATGCAAATACTTCATGGGACATTACATAGTAGCAGTACCTAATTTACCCACTTCTCCTACTATATTAAACAATCAATATTAGGTTTATTGCTTATTTAAACAACAGAGATGCTGAAGTCAATCATGTAACACTCTTGTTTTCTTTTTATTTTAGTTACGGGTTTCTGTTACTGCTCCTTCATATCCTGAGAGCTGGTAAGTTCAGAATATGTCAGTTAAAAATGAAGCTGCCCACTCTTTAATAAGTTTGGCCAAATACACTAAGTAGTTGTAGTATGTACAATATAGACATCTTCATGTTTTCAGCAAGACATTTAAGATTTCCCCAGTGTGAAATTTTTCTCTGACATGCATCAGGGAAAGAAGAAAATATCATTTTCTATCAGTTTCGGTATGGAGAGTAGCAAAGGACCTTCTGGATGCTCTTGCTTCGATTGCTCTGCTTGCTTCACAGACATCCCTGCATATTCATCTCTGCCAACAAAAGGCCTTAGAAGTGGGGTAATAAGGGCTGTTGATAAGCAGATCTAACATGCCTGGATAAAGTCCAAACTCATATTATGACTAGAATTATACATGACTCTATCAAGTACCCAGTATTAGTCTTTTACTACAGTTCCAAAAACACCTTTCAAAACAAAGGTAAGGTTAAAGGAGATCACTTGGTGATACTTAAATGTTTTCAGAATTGTCTCTCCTCTGTTCTTGCTTAATCACCAAGGAGGACGTCAACAAAGTGATCAAGGAAAGTCCACAGCTGCAAAATTGGGACAAACTACCAAATTCAGTTTCAGTAGATCCCAGCTGGCCTGCTCTTAAATAACGCCAGTGATGAGACTGTCCCCATATCCTCAGTCAGTGCTTTTTCTGCTACTACAAGGGGTTTCCCAAAGTCTGAGCTGCAGCACCCTTGTTGCAGTTCAAGCCCGTTACTTCTCGCCTCACCCAGCAGAGGATAAGGGCCTGGAGAACACACTGTATTCTTCCCTGAAAGTACTGTGTTTGCTTCGGTGGTATTTTTAAGCCAAGGGTGCCCAACTCAGACATGTAAATAAGCTATTTCTGAATCCACTGCACCAACACAAAGGGATGTCCACCTTTAATATTGCTGCCTCCCTCTCACCTCACCATGCACCGTTTCCACATTTCCAAACCTCACTCCTGTCATCTTTCTTTCCCTAATTCACCCAGCCACATAATCCCTTCCCCCAACTGTAACCTCTCCCATCCAACCCCATGCCTGACCCCCCTGGCCTTACCCCCCCCAGTCTGACATTTACAACATGCACACTGCTTTGGTCTCAGCAACCAGTGGCATCAGAGAGGTTTCGGCTGCTGGGGTGGAAGAGAGATGACACGTCCCTCTCAGCAGGGAGGCTGTGGTCAGAGCCACCCTGGTCCTTTTGGAGAAGCTGACCTGCACCTTCTGTATCACTCGCCAGCCAGCTCACGCCTTCTCACTGCTCACCAGGAGGAGAGGCTGCCTTTCTCAAGTCTGGAGTCCAGGAAAAGTGCCCTGAAAGCCAGATACTGTGCTGGCCTACCTCAGGTGGCTGTGAGAGGTTGTAAATGTCTAATGAATGTGTCACTGGAGGTATCTGGACATTCTGGTTTGCCAGCTGGTTATGTTTGTTGAGAGGGTGACACCAGTGGTAGCAATAAAATGTTATTGCCATGACATGCCCAATTTGGGAAACACTGCACTCCATGTTTAGATTTTTTGGCGTCTCAACATAATGGTAGCACTCTTTTTCTTATCAGTGTTTCTACTTCTTGTGGTTTACCTGGTGTTATGTGGCATTTCTGTTAATTAAAAAAAAAAAAAAAAAAAAAAGATAATTAAAGCATTAGGACTTGAATATGTGTCTGCAGTCAGTCCCAGTCAGTGGGCACAGTGAAACATACAGGCATTCTTGGGGCTGGGAACACTTCAACTGGTTGGTCCTCAGAGAAAGAAATAAGTAGAAGGCTTTATATTGTAAAAGGTCAGTTTGGAAAACATGCAGTCAAGCAGACACACAGAGAATTAGACATTAGCAAGTCAGGAGGTAGGAATGACTATGAAGTGAGCACACTCACCTGCCTGTTATAAATACTAATACTGCAGTCCATATGCAGTAGAATATATTTGAAAAGAATGACATTTTTTCTCAACCTCCCTGTTTTTTCTCACTCTACTTTTATCTTATAGTTATCGCACTGGAGGAGAAGGTCATTGTCAGTAAGCTTGGAGACAACGCTACACTGAGTTGCATTTATCGAGGAACAGAATTGCACTTAAAAAACCTACGGGTATATTGGCAAATAGCTGATGATCAAGAAAAGTGTTCAGTGGTACATGCACTGATCGCCGGTCAAGATAATGAAAGTGAACAGTGTATTAATTTTAAAAACAGGACTCAGTTATTCTGGGATAGATTGGAAAATGGCGATTTTTCACTGCTACTGCTAAATGTCAGCCAGAGTGATGAACGTACGTACAAATGTGTAGTACTGCAGAAAAGTGAATATACAAGAATGGTTCACCAGGCAGAAGTGGTTCTCAGTTTAGCAGGTAAGAACTTGTATCACTTGCACATATTTGCCAAAATTCTCATTCCAGCTTTTCAAATTCATGCTGTTTTAATATTATATTTAAGCACGCCCTTAACTTTGAAACAGTTCAGCACTTTGCTGAAATTAGGTCTGCTTAATTTAAATGTTACAGATAGGACATCTAAAACTGGGAGAATACCCATAGCAGCTGTTTATCTAGTGTGGGTTTTTCACAACTTGATTTTCGTTAATACAAGGGCTCTTGCACATGCCTGGGTGATAACAGCTTAAGAAGTTGCTTTCTCTCTTTGGATTTGGCTTCAGCATTCTGCCCTTCCAGTAATTCTCTTGGCTCTCTGGCTTACATACCAGACCTGCTGGTGTTTCCCTTTCAAGTCATGAGGGTCATGTGAAACCCAGAACTTCTGCTTCAGAACCCACATCAAAATTTTGTCTTTTCAATGCCTTTCGACATATTGATAACTATTTCTTTTTCTCTTGCTCTCCAGCTAGTTATAGCCAACCAATACTCAGTGGACCAATAAGAAACAGTGACAGCACTGGAGAGGAGGTGACTTTCAGCTGCAGGTCTGGCAATGGATACCCAGAGCCCAATGTTTATTGGATAAATAAAACGGATAACAGCCACCTGCCTCCATCAGAGCTAACAATCACCCCCCACGCCGATGGCACTTACAGTGTTTTTAGCACGCTGAAGGTTAAAGCCACTTCTAACATGCAAATAGAGTGCTCCGTAGAAAATAAAATACTGCGGGAAAATCTATCAGCCAACTGTAAGTCCCTTCATGCTACTTCATGTTTCCCAGATAACAGGAATATCAACCAGCGTGCCTCTGTCTGTAGATACGCAGTAACAAGGGGTACACGTAAATTCAGTAGTTCTAAAAAGTACCAAGAAGAGCTCAAGTTTTGTTTCAAGCTAGTTATGCATGGACTTGATGTTTACTTCTGCCATATTGAAGTCAACACCCCATCAAGCATGTTATGACAATGGCACTGAGAAGCTCTTGCATCCAAGGCAGTCACTGAGTTTTACGCTTTGGTTTATCGGGAACATGATGACGTGGGGAGTCAGGTTATTTTTCAGGGGGGCACCATACAGCAGGTCCACAATTCCTGAACCCCTACTTGACTGCTTTGCATCACTCACATTTGCTTTTTACTCTGCCTAGTTTCGAAGTTCTGTTTTCAGTCTCCAAAACTCAGTTTAATACAGTGCACTATTTAAAGCAGGCCTGTAGCAAACAGGTAATACTAGCCCAATAGAACAATACACCTAATCACACAAGTGTAATATGCTATTTATTGCTGATATGAGTGATCAATAGTAAAAACAAGCATTTAGCCACTCAGCTCTTCACAAAAACAGAAGTCTATTTAAAAAAAAAAAAATTTAAAAAGTTATAGCTTTTCATAGTGGATTTCATGATTTCCAAACAGCTGTGCAGAGAAGCTATCTGGAGTAGGAGAGCTTATCTGGAGGTGGCTGTTCAGTCTCACTGCTGTTCCTGGTCCTGCCTCCCTCCACACCTTTCTCTCACAGGTTTCTGCATCCTGGTGCAAAGAGGTTTGATTGTTTGCATAGCTGTAGCTGGATGCCCACAGTGAGTTTACCTGAACATGCTAAGGAGTCACATACTCTGGACTTAACGACACTGATCCCACAAACATAACCAAAAGATATAAGCTATTTCCAGGAACAGAAATTGTGTACATGAGCAGAATTTGCACAGTAGAGTGTTTATATGACAGCATACCCTTGCTGTCATTCCAAATTAAAGGAAAACTAAGTAACCTTGTCATTAGTTTCCTAGTGGCATTCTGTCATATTGTATTTTGGGGGAAAAGACCTTTATCTTACTATTTTTTGATGGTTTCTAAAAGCACTACCACACTTGAAATAGTAAGAAATGTGATTTGAAACCTTTCATTTACGGCAATCAGTGGAAATTCATCACTAACTTCAGGGAAACAGGTTTTCACCCACTTTTCTGAATACCATCAGATTTACATTATAGAGTCTGTAGATTCATTTTCAACTGAGTCTAGAATCAAGTTCAAACATACAGTCTCCCAGGGCTGTCAGGAAATAAGAACAAAAGGGAATACAGACAGATGCATGCAGTATGATGACAGGGAAGAATAAACTGGCATTGCATTATTTGACAGTGTAAGCTGGAGATGTGCCTTGCTCAGAAGGAATACCACCAGAATCACAGTGATATGAATAGCACAAGTACTTAGTCCTTCATGATTTTCTTGTGCATGTAAAATGTGGTCAGATATTTGCCTGGTATGAAATGTGAAAATTTATACTTTACTACATCCTTTTTCTATTTTATTCTAGACACACAGCAGAAGCAAAGCAATGGTTCTAGCACAGAAAGTCACAAAAACCTGGAAAAAAATGTACGAGGTGCTCAAGCAGCTGGCATCGTTTCCATTGTTATTCTGATAGGTCTTCTAGCTGTTTTAACCTGCTGGCTGTGGAGACGGAGGTCCTCCAAACTAGTGTCCTACACAGGTAATGAGGCCCTTAATTTGCATGACCAAATCTGAAGAACTCTTTTTCATTTGCCAAAATATTTAATGTCATCCACTGTGTTACTAGAACGTATGAGTGAGCTGTCTGCACACAACAGCAGGAAATCATGCTGTTATCAAAAACCTGGGGTGTGCTGGGGAGGACATGTAGTGCTCCAGGACATGTTATTCTTTATGGTTTTCTGCTACTGAGCCTGATTCTCACAGGAGTTAATTGCTGGATGTGAGAGTAACTCAGATTTTGTGCTTGTTCAGACCTATTTCCCAGCTGCAATCCCTGCAGGCTGTTTCTGGACAGATGGAGGGTATGTTCCTCCATGGAACAGGACTGGGGTCAGTAGCTCACTCTGCTTAGCACAGTCCAAAGCAGAAATTGGAGGATAAATCAATTCCAAGAGCTTTAGAGTCACTGGCTGGACAATTAAGGGTTCAAGATCCCACTGGGATCAAGCAGCCTTCTACAAGTTAAAAATAAAGCATGTCTCACTATCACTCCACATTATACATGCATACCCTTGTATTGCTGCATTTGCCCATGTGTGGGACTTTTCAATGCTTGGCATGACAGAACTCAAGGTAGCTCTAAAAGACACGTTGTGAACCAGACTAAGTCTGCTGATGTACCTGACTACTTGCAAGCCACTTAGCTCTTGTGGACCTGCAAAGAAAAGAGAGCAGGGGCAACCACACTTTTCATGGACAAGGACAAACCACATGTTCAATCCACGCCCTCTTCCTTATGGCTAGCAAGCCCAGGTGCTTCAGAAAAGAGCAGAAGAGAGCAGGATAGTGATCTTGCCCAGCATCTGCAGCAGCTGTCTGGGAGCCATGTCCTTCCTTCAGAAACAAACAACCCAAGAGTAGTGCAGGACCCTGTCCCAAAACCTGGAGCAGGGCTGTTGCTTCAAGCCCAAAATCTGTCCTTGCTGAAATGGTGACCTAGGTTGTAAAGAAATAGAGCACGGACTGCATTTTGCTGTCCAAAGAGCATTTAGCACATTGAACCTTCAGCTTTGGTGGATGTTGCTTAATATTAATCCCGTTTGGCTAAAGACTAAAGTTATCTATCCTACATGCTTAAAACAGTGCATTTGTTTCAACAGATGTCCAGTCAAATGAAGAGAAAGGAGAACTCAACTGTAAGTATTAAAAATATATTACTGTATTTGTCTCAAGAGTGACTTAACTTCATAGCTTCAGTACTCAAGATCAGCACAAAGCCTTTGTATTAGTCTTGCTGGACGTTACAAATTCAAGCATGTATAGTGGTAGCCCTACTTCTTCTCTCAGCCCTTTCCTTGGGTTCTGTAAGTGTTGCCAAAGGCAGCCTGAGAGTTTCAGTTCTCAGAAGTTCCTTCAACAGTTCAGGCCAAAGAACATGACAAATCAACAGGGAACACAGAGCATACAGGCTGAAGCCACCCTCCCCTCCTGTTCTACAGCTACACAGAAGCTCCTGTTGGCATCAAGACAGAGCCAAACTTGGAAAATCTGTTTTAAATGCTGATTTTCAAGTCTGGACAACACTGACCACTTAGCACTTCATATCATGTCAGTACCTATCATCAAATGGTTGCTCCCTGCCTTTTTAGTCACTACATCCTAGAAGGTCTTTAGCTGGGATTCAGGAACATAATTTGCTTCATTCATGTCTATGAACCTGAATGTATATACACCCAATTTAAAAAAAAAAAAAAAACAAAAAAAAAACCACCTCTCCTTGCCTAAGAAAAAAATACGTAGTTCAGACCTTCAACATGTTAATATTTTTTTATAAACAAGAGTGCAATAATTCAGGTCAGCTGGTTTACAGATTCATTTATCATTTATAGTGAGGGAAAAATAAAAACAGGGCAAAAAAATCCAAGACAGACTTGGAAAAACAAACTCAGCACAGGGGACTTGCAAGAGTACAAAGAGGTGAAATATCTACCTATGTTTTATCTCATTTGGTAGTATCTACTGAAGCAAATGACTGGTGCCTGAGTGTCTTTGCAAAACAAGCAGAAAATACTGTGGTTTCACCAAAACTGTAATAGTTAAAACATAATTTGCCATAACAGATGCTGTTAATACCCAAATCATAATATCAAGCAGAAGCAAAATAAGCCTTAAATTAAAAAACTTGGTCTGGAGTTTCTTTGTTGGTCATGCAAACTGGGTTAATGGTCAGTTATTTTCCAGACCCATTGCACAACCCCAGTCTGATCCACAACATTTGTGTTTGCTAAACATCAACGTGCATTACGCTGTTTCCTGTAGAGTATAACATAGAGTGGAGGATGGATTTTCTCCTTAAGATAAAGAGACGTTTTCTCCTTCCGTTCCTGTGAGCTGCATTAACGTAACACAAGCAGCTCATTTAAGGTCAACTTTTTCTTCTCTGGACTTACTTATACCAGCTCCTATTTGATTAGATCCCTGGATTTAACTCATAAGTAGAAAAACCTCAGTGACATAAATAGGAGTAAACATTTATCTTATATTGAAGTCTGCTGTAGCACGATTTGTTCATTAATAACAAAACAAAGACACTTGCCTTCCAGACACTACCATTTCCTTGGCATGCTTCCACACCATTTGTGGGAGAAGAGGTGGGACAGCAGCTTGGGTGGTTTGCTGCTGTCAGAAACTGTCCCACCTTTGAGGGCTCTCTTCTGCCAGCAGAGCCATGAAAGGCACAGGAGGCGGTATCTTTTAGTCATCCCAATTTGAGGACAGCTTGGACCAATACCAGAGAAATGAGAATAATCTAGGGAACGCGATCTCTGATGACAAATTGGTTATGTTTGTTTAGGCTGGAGAAAGCAAGTTTGATAATGGACACAATAACAGTCCTCTTCAGAGGGTTCTTAAAGAAGATGGGATAAGTTATTTATTGTCCTAAGTCAGCATACACAGCACTTAAGGCACAACAGGCTTAAACAGAGGAGATTTAAGCTAGATGTTAGGAAAAAATGCTTTTCTAAGGGTAATGGTAGTTGAGCACTGAGACAGAGTTTGTGCAGGCTGTCAAGTCTTCATCAGTCCAGGTTTGTTGCTGTTCTGTTTTTTCTTAACAAAAGAGGAAACTGGTATCAGTCAGAAATAGCTGGTACCTTGGGGCAGAAGATGGGCTCTAGCCTAATTCAATCATCATTTGATATTTTCAAGCAAGTTGTGTGTGGTAGATGGGGAGTAAGGCACTGCGGAGGTGCACCCATGGGAACACTGCCACGGCATTTTGCTTCTCAATACTGATGTAAATACATTTCTGCTTTTAGCAGTTTCACTTTATGAAGAAGGCCAGACTGTTTCACGGCTGGGGGGGTGGGGGTGGGAATCCAAAAAGAGCCTACTGAGAATAGCTTTGCTGTTACAAAGAAAAGATTTTGAACACTGCGGGGAAGATAGGTTGCAAAGAAGAGTAACTTCATCCTGGTGGGGTTAATCTCTCCAGACACCCATTACAGTCGGTGGGGCAGGATGAGGAGATATTCAGAGCTGGAGCAAATCTGATTGCTCTCTGGAGGGACCTCCTCACTGCCTACAGAGGAGTCTCAGGAAGCTGGTTTCTTTTGACCATAGACAGGCTTTGTGCATCTCGTTCTCTGAAGCAGCTTAAAATGAACCAAAGGTGACACTGACATCCCTTCACAAGGGAGGGGGATGTTAGCAGGAGAGCACTTTTTGCATTTGCACAGAGAGGCACTTTTGGTCTGTGGCACAAGGGCAGAGGGCCTCCAGCATCTCATGTATCCAGGCAGAGGCATGGGCTTCACCCCGGCCAATTCTCTTTCAGCAGCATGAATACATCTTTTCAGTAGTTTTGAAGCTTGTCCCACTGGTTACGCAGGAAAAATAACTCTAGGATATGATTATTTCTGGGGGATTTTTTTTTCTAAAAATGAGTTGTTTTGTTTTCACAGCACCTGTCTAAATGGAAAGTCTGACAACGATTTGGGCAGCTGGAGATGTGTCAAGAGAAGCATCACCCCCCATCTCAGTGGCAGCATTGCTTGCAATACAAGTGACAGATTTCTGCAGAGCATGCCAAGAGAGATGGCAAAAAAAATTTCTCCAACACAAGAGACAGCAAAATCCACTGGATTTCTGTTCCACCAGAGGCTGTGTCCACACAACAGTTGTGTCACCAGACCAGCTATCCACTTTGGACAGTCCTCCGGGATAGTCTGTCAATGTTTTGAGCTCTTGCACAGGGGAAGACAATAGGCCTGGGACTTAGCTACTCTGTGCCAGACCACAGAGAGCTGGTGAGTGCCCAGTCTCTCGTCGTCACCTTTGAGGACTTAGTAGCAGAAGCAGCTGCGTTTCAGGAGTGTGGAAAGTTCTTGCTGTGTCTCCTTACACCAATGATGACTACTGAATGTGAAGAAAGGCAGCTTAAAAAAAAAGAAAGAAAACTGAAGGACTCTCTGCAAAGTGAGATTTCTGGCCTTTTCCACCTTTCTCTACAGTACGTCCTTGCGTTGTCTGGTTTCACCAGCTGTATGGTATTGTGTATAGAACTAGGTAGAACATTTTGACCCAGTCCTCCAAAAATGGGAATTGCTCTGATGGGGTTAAGCACTGAATGTGTTAACATAAGGGAACGTGTGTTCTTTAAATGCACTTGATATCAACATTTTGTTTTTTACCAAATATTCCACTGAAAAGGGGACTTCCACTTTTGACAGAAGCCAGTGCATACTTATGTAGAAAAATAGGCTGTAGAAATCTGACTAAAAATAGTGCTCCCTGCTAAGTTAGCGTTGGGTTACCTGAACTTACCCATTTCGAGATAGAACAAAAACTGTGGTCAAGCTCTGCTTGATTCAGCTGGTATTTATTTAAGCATTACCCCGTGGCTTCCAGGGAGGATTTTAAACTGAAATTTTTAAACTGAACCTCTCCCTGTGTCCCATCCCTCCACCCAAAAGAAAAAAAAAAAAAAAAAAAGCACGCAGACTATAGCACTGTGTTGTCCATGAATGTCCAGAAAGCCAAGAACTGCATTTTCCTTGTGCCAGTGCACGTGCCTTGCTGTTTCAGCCCCAAGTCAGCCAGGAGAAAGTGGTTGAAAATGGAAAAGCAGTAAACTTTTCTGATGGTATGAGGTTTTTGAAGGAGGAAGAGGAATCTATACTAGCTCTTTTGCCTAGGTGGGGCAGGTTCCCCATCTTGTCACAGTGAGGTAGAGATGACGGTTTTAAACTGAGCTCTGGAGACACTTGGCTTCTCCTGCACTAGTTGCTAGACTAAAATTCTACCATCTTTGTGAATAAGTCACAGCCTTGTTTGACCTAGCTCTGTGGGGGGGAGGCACTCCAGTGTCAGCTGTGAGATAGGACATTGACTTGTCATAGCAAGATCAGCTTTGAAATGCCAGCCAAGTGAAAATAATTTTTGTCATCCTGTTCTCCCATCACGGGGAATCCAGAACCACTTGGCAATAGTATAGTTAGCTTTTGTTGAGGCAGTACCCACCCAAGAAGACTCCGAGTTGGGTAGCTGTGCACCACTGCTGCGCCAGTACCTTGTGGGAGGGCTGCACAGGCTCAGCCTCATGGCATTCAAGAGAAGGGGCAGTTTAGCTCTCACTTGATGCAATCTAGACTTACTCACCAATTTGAACAGGATAGAGAAACCTTTTTTTTAAAAAAAAAGCTAAGGTGAAACGAAATAATTAAGCTCCTGTTTAGGTTATAAGTAACGGTGTACAACTGTGTTTTTTAAAAGATTGTTTATCTATTAATGTCAAAAAAAGTATATTGCGTATTTGATAATCTTCAATGTCTGTGAAAAATATTGTTTTATTTATTAATTTTACCTTTATTATCTGTTGCCTTCCAATCTACAACTGTAATGTACCCTATCAGGTAGGGCATTTAGCTCACAGTGTTCATCAGATAAGATTACTGAGGTGCTGTAAGTTACTTTAAATGCCAGCCTTTCCTTGTCTTCTCTCATGTCCATTAATCTAGGTGTTAGATATTTTCTGAGCCCATGTCTAGTCTTCAATGAACCCGAGGGAATTTGCTTGAAGAAAGCATGCAAGCTTGCAGACACCTTAAAAATGTGAGTAACAGCTGTGCGGATGTGAAGGGTAACCATTTCCTAGTGGTTCACTAAGAAATGCTGCAGACATTTCCTCGCTATCTCATGGCGTTGTTTTGCACAGCCTCTCTGGTGCTGCTGTAACTGACAGAAGCCTTTTCTAAAAACAGTTTTCCATCTTCATATCCTGCCACTGCAAGAAGCTGTAACGGTTTAGAGATGCAAGAAGTGACCTAGAAGTCTCTTCGCAATATTTTGTTAAGCTAATTTAGACCATTTGGATTTTCTTACTTCTGGGCTACTTCATGGTACGTAGTGAATACATCTAAATGCAACAGCCTGCTCTTGCAAAATCCATATTTTTGATAGGTATAGGTTTCCAGCTATTTTTAGAAGCAAGTAAATCCTAAATGACAGTTGTTTGTTACCATTCAAAGGACATGAAAATTTTGTGGTAACAGAGTTTGTCATCATATACCATGTTTGTATTTTAAATAAAATTCATTCATTCTTCTGGATGTTTGACTAAATCTATCAGCACATAAAGACAAGTCTCTGCAAACCATTGCCCCCAACCAAAGTGGCAGTTTTTCTTTCAGCCACAACCCTCAGGGCATATGAGCACACCTCACCAAAGCCCTCAGATGAGGAGAGACTGATTCAAGCAACAGACTTGGCAATCTTTGCTCTATTTTGGCTCTCGCAACAAAAGACCTTGAACTAACTCAATGAAAACCATGCAGTAGCCTGAAGACAGCACTCAGCCTAGGCTGATACATCCTTTTCTCACCCAACTTGACAACCCCTAGCTGAGCAAAGGTACAACACCCCCTCCCGCTTCCAGAACTGAAATGGGCTCATTGCACTGTCCCGGGTCGATGTTGCACTTGGGCATCAGCATCCCTCTGCTTCCTTTCATTAAAGATAGCAGCTCGTGTTAAGTACATGTCTCAGGCAATGTAAACACATACACAGGAAAGCACCGCTTGATGCAGCTTTGTGGGAAGACTAAGAAACAGACTCGCTTTCACAGAAAAACGAAAGGCTTTCATTGTGGCATGGCTGGTAAACCACAGATGGAAAGTCCTGAGAGGGAACATGTATTGCTACTTAGTGGTCTGAGTCCATCCATCCTGTAGTCAAATTCATTATTTAAATCTTTTCACCTGTGAGAACTGAAATAATCTCTCTTGCTCAAAAATATATTCCCTTTTCCACTTCAACAACCCTGACTCCAAACACTTTTGTCAATATCCCCTTGTGCTATGCCAAATTTTAGCTGCTTTTCCAAATTGCAAAGTGAATCCTTTTCATATTTGTAACAAATATGCACAAAAGTTCACATTACCCCATGAAGGTAATTTCTCTAACCTTTCTCTTTTCTAGGGCAAAGGAAATTGCTCTAAAGAATAGTGTACAGCTGAACTCCACAGGGAGGGGAACCCCCATCCCCTACAAAAGTTAGCTAGGCTCTTGGGACTTTTCCTCTCAATGTGTGATGGCACATTAGGACCTTCGCCACATTCATTGGGTGATATGTGGTGAAATCATTGTAAACTGGTCCCCATCTGAGGATTATAAAAGGCACCCCACATGTTCCTTGAGGTGATCTTCTCTGCATCTGGCAGCCCAGGGAATTACAGGCCACAGACCAGTAGCCTCCATCTCATTAATCTTTCAAGACACATTTATGCGACATCTCAATTTGTACAATTACCTTCCAACACTCTATGCACTATCAGCACCGCTAATAAGTGTAAGTAGTGTATCTGAACCACTGCTCCACGCTGCAGAATGCAAGTCCTTGGGAACTACTCATGACCTTACCATTAATCACAAACTCAAGTACTTTGTTAGGAAAGAGCCTGTCTCCTCTTTTAGTCTCCACAGAAATTTTCTGTGTAGAGAGAGAAGCTTATATCAACAGAGATTTAGGCTGACTTTCCAGCTTGCCCAAAATAAGTCCTAACAATATAGTAATAAAACACTAATTTGTTTTCCTGTGATTCCAAGAAGTGCTGATTAGGGCTATTTTATAATTGGAAAACTTGGACACATTCTAATAAGCGTAAGTAGTGTATCACACAAGGCTGTAGCTAACCTGGTGTTTGACCTCACGTCTTCAGCATGTAGAGACCATCTCTCCTTTCAGTTGCTGGACTGGAAAGTCTACTTCTTTGCAGCACTCACCCCAATAGAAGTCATAAGTCAACAGAAGCCAGTTGCTATTTTTGAATAGGATTGCATATAAACTGCCAGACTACACTTTCATATCTGTTGCACAAAAAAAAAGTCTGCCCTTAAAAAAGTTAGAAAGAGGAAAAAGCTGACAAAATGTCTTTCAGTTGAGACTGGAAAACTTCTATGAATGTGTCAGTAAGAAGCAACACTAATGCAGCCATAACGCAGACAGAGGGTGATTGCTAACACTTCCTTCTTAATTTTTTCTGCCAGGAGATCTATGCTGTCATATGCCATACCTCTTATGAGGCTGAGTTTGTAGTTTTGAAACAAAATCAGGTTTTCTTGCAAAAACTTCTTTTCCACATCATCATGCTGGACTAGTGGTAATTCTATTTGTGTTGATTCGTTTCTTTACCAGTCAGACTTACCATTATAATTTTACCTAACTTCTAAAATACATCACTACTGCAGCCGCAGTAACTAAAAAGAGGTCAAGGGATAAAGGTGTAAAATGTCTGAATTATTGCCAAAGCACTGTTTTGCTTTCATAACACAAGGCACACACAAAGTTTCTTTAACACCTTATTGGAAATCTTATTAGCCAGCTCAGATCAGTTTGATAAATGGCCAGTGACATTAAACTCTGTGTTAGCAAAGTACCAGAAGTCCTATCACAAAACTTGGTCTTTTAAAGCCCGCCCTTCATTTTTTTCATATGTATGATCGTATTTCCATATCTAACTGTCACTATTTGCAGCACAGAGGGTTGCTCTATTATTTGAGAAATATTATCAAATTCTTTTATCAGAATCACGAGAAATATCCAGCCCTGTGATGGTTTCTGATCTACTGAACCAGGCAACAGGGCTGGCCAGGTAATGACCATCCTTCACAGGGAAATTTATTGACTGTTTCTACACAGAGCGAGGCAGAGAGCCAGTACCCCAGGAAGGTCTCCTGAACTCCTGGCACCACCTCACGCGAGAAGCGTGCCCCGAAACTGAAGGACTGGAGAAGCAGAGGAAGTGGCTGTGGAGGCAGTTGAGTCTCCAGGGAGCCCCAGCCAGGGTGAGTTGCCATGCCAGGTCTCTGCTCAGCAGGCGGGCACCACGTCAGGAGTCCTGGCATGCCAGGGCACAGCTTGGCTCTGAGCATTAAGTGCCTTCAAGCAGGAAAATGCAAAAGAATACGTAAAGAAATGCCAAACTCTACACATCTGTTTAACTTCAGATTATTTTATTTATTTAAAGTTGAGTTTTTCATGCCTACCATGAGGCAGACAGCTGTCTGTCAAGGTATTTCTCATGGAACAGTTTTATCCAGCTGAGAGTAGGAAGAAGAAAAGGAAAAAAATAAAAAAAAAAAATCTTTTAATCTGCTCCAGCCCAGTGACACTTCACCAATCCTCTGGAGGTGAAGCTCTGGGGGGGAAAATTATAATAATTGATTATTTCTTTCTTTTTTTTTTTTTTTTTAACAAAGAAGTCCTTAAGAAGAGCTGCTATTAACAAGCATATGCGTTGGTTGGCTAGAATTATCAACCACAAAACCCACCAGGCATGCACACAGTGAGCCAGTGTGCCTTTCCTTAGCATTTTTGGCAATGCATCAACTACTGACAGGCTTCATGCAATTTGTCTTAGCTTCACTTTTGAGCAATTCCTCCTGCATCACAACATATCTGGATGGAAAATTATTTCTAAACAAACATACAAAGTCAAACAAATTGTTCCTCAGAAACAGAAAAATTGGCAAAAGAAATAGACCAAGTTCTGTGGCTGCATTTACTGCATCAGTAGGCCTTCAAGTCTTGGGAAACAGTAGTAAGTATTCCACATGGCAAATACCTGTGCTGGTAAGAACCAGTTTTTGCATTAAAACTGATTTTAATGTCCCCAGGTCACAGGTGCTCAGGCTTGAGCACCCCTCAGCCATGACGGACCCCAGGCATGGAGCTGTGACCCCATCTGCATACTTTTCAGAAGTGTTCGGGGTGGGGTTGGAGGGCAGGGGTAGAAAAGAGTTTTGTTTTAGTCTCTAGGCAATGCTGCTCCAGACAGCTAGGAGGAAACCACTGAAATTATGCACCTGGGAAGAAGCCAGGTAAGAAGTTGGCTCTGAAGCTGGAAAGGGACCCTAACCCCCTCCTGTGAAGGTTTGGTTATACAGCCCAGTGCTCTTATACACACTAGCTACACATTTTACAAAGCAAGCTATAATCTTAATCATTGCATACCTGGATGCTGGGATGGGATAGAGCACTCAGCCTGTAGATAAAAAATTGTACAACATTATCTCTGCTGGTTGGGAACTTGGTGCAAACAGTCATTGTGATTTCACAGAGGTGAGCACAATGGAGCAGTATACCAAAGTGTATTTGAATAGAGGTAAAGTTCAACAGGCACGCCAAATGCAGGTCAGATTTTGCAAGGAGATGAGTGAGAAAGCATGTGGCTCCCACAGTGAACGCCCATTCTTGTCTGAGTGGCAGGACTTCCACAGTCTAAATGCAAACATAATCCCAACATCACTGCTTTCATTCAGACTATTTACTTTTCAAGGAGGAAAGATTGGTATCTTATCTCCCCCCCCACACCCTCAACATGTCAAAGCTAGTGCCACTCTTTACTGCCAAGACAACACATACTTGTTCTGCCCTCTTGAGATGCTGCACCCCGCGAGTGGGCAAACACCAGCAGCTTAATTACACAGGCAGTTATCAAAGCCTGGCTGAACTTTCACACTAGGAAAAAGTGTGCTTCCTCTCATTAAACTTAGCAAAAAAATCAATACTTTGTTTCTAGGTGAAAGTCAGCAAGAGACCTGGAAAGTTACTGCTAGATGTATCCCTGCTTACTATGTGGGTCATGGCCAGAGAGGGTATTGGGCTATAAGGGCCTTGGGACACTCACAGCACAGCAGCTGTTGCCAAACTAAACAATTTTCCCACTACAAAACCAATTTCTGATAGGTTAGGGGTAAAGGACTGCAGATAGCATCTGCAAAATTAGTACTTTAATTGCTGATAGTATTTACGGAGTATAACCTTCCATAAACAAAAAGCCGTCTGAAAAAAAACAAAAAACAAAACAGCAAGAGTGGCTGGAGCTGCAGTACTACCAGGAAAGCTCAAATTTCATCAAGATCAGAAACAGGAGTTCCTTTGCCCCCAGAACTGGAGCATCCTGCAGACGAGGGAATCAATTCCACCGTGGCCACCACAGCCTCTGGGAGAGCAGGAGCTGCACTGGGTAAGGAGCTAAAACAGTGTGGTTTTGTCTTAAAGCATGCTAATAGCTCAGTGAACCCTGGAAGGCATCTCTCCTTTAGAGA